TAGCTTTATTTATTATAAGATTCTATTTTATAGTACTATATACTAACTAGTTATCTACTTCTCTACTTACTATAGAAATTCTGCCTAGTTCTAAAGCACTACTACTTTATAGTAACTAGTAGGCTAGCTAAAATCTATAAGTTCTCTCTTGCCTTTTCTCTAGTCTTTTATTTTAAAGCTTATTAATTCTAATTATATTCTTCTTCTCTGCGTTAGAGTCTACTATAACATCTCTACTCTTAGCTATAACCTTTAAATCTATAAGCTTTCTCTCTTACCTTCTTAGTAGCTGCCTTAGGCAGCGTAGAGTTAGCTTCTAATTTTTATTTTATATATTATGTTCTACTACTTACTTACTACCTTTTATTTTAAAACCTTATACTTTATAAGCTTTACTATCTCTTCTCTAGCCTCTTTCTTACTCTATACTAACTACTTTACCTTCTAGACTTAGCTTTATATCTAGTAGAAGGCTCTACGCCTATAAGTATAATAATTATAATACTTCTTACCTTACTACTATTTTACGTGTCTCTTAAGTTATAGAAAGAAAAAGTCTATATAAAAAATAGCTATTTAGAGTAAATATCTTATTAAGACTAAGAATGTTATTATAAATAGCTGTTAGAACGCGCTTAATATCTCTTAGACAATCTTAGTCTTATACTAGTAACTTTAGAAAGAAGAATAATAGTTAAGATATATATATAAAGAATAAGTTTTATTCTATATTCTATATAGCGAATATTAATTAGACTATAAATGTAGTAATAAGAATATTAAGCTCTAAACTCTTGTCTCTACTAAGATCGCGCCTCTAAAGAGCTAAAAGAAGCGTAATAAGCTATAGTAGTAGAGGCGCACACTAGAAGAGCCTAAGAGCTATATTTAGGTAGCTACTCTACGCACTAAGTACAACGCTAGATAGACTAAGCTAAACTCTAGAAGTAAGAGCAAGAACGTATATTTCTAGACCTTTTAATTAAAATCTTATTTCTTCTAAGTAACTCTTTATATCTACTAGGCTAAATATAATATAAAGAATAAGGTTATATAAGTAGAGCTCTATTCTTTTATTCTCTTTCTTCTACTACTACTTCTCTTCTATTCTATTCCTCTAGCACGCTTAGCTCTTTTTTTCTTTCTTTCTAATATCTACCTAGCTCTCTATTCTAAGCTCTTAGTTCTTCTAGTATCTACGCTTAGATATCTATAACTTTATCTATACAAAATCTAATATTCTCTAACTAAATATATAAAGATTTAAAGTGCTACTATAGCTAATTTATAGTAGCTTTATGTGCAGCCTATTTCTTCTTAAGATTTAGTTTCTTTTAATTATTCTAGATAGAATATATAGAAATATATAGCTCTTATAACCTTCTTATTTTCTACTCTATTACTATAATACCTTAGTAGATTTTACACTATAGTTGCTATTTAGTATATATACTCTTCTTAGCCTACGCTAAATAGCTATTATAATTTTAGACACTCTATATCTATTTTTTAGTAGTTCTAATCTCTACTACTCTAAATATTAGTAGTATTACGCTTTAATACCTTAAAGGCTTTATAGTAGAGTTTACTTTCTTCTATATATATAAAGTTCTCTACACTTTCTTATAGTAGCTCTTAGAAATACTAAGAAAATAGTATTAATATCTATAGTCTATACTGCGCTAGATAAAGGTGTGCGCGTAGTAACTATACTATAAAGACTAGAGTAGTTATGTGCCTAGTATAGCGTAAGCCTATAAACCTTCTCTTATATCTTCTAAGGTTATAACAGCCTTTTAACGTTTACTTCTAAGGCGTTGTTTTTATAGTTAAGTTAAAACTATAGCTATTAGTATACTTAGAGAGTGTAATAGCTATAGTATAATAGAAGTTATGTAGTTAACATATAAAGAGAATAAGAACTAATATATTAAGTATTATTTAAGGCTTAATGCTTAGTATTTCTAAGGTCTATAGTGCAATTTCTAGTAGATCTACTAACTTTTATTTTATTTACAGCTCTAAGAAATTTTATATATAATAATATATATTACGTAGGTATCTACACTTAATAAGAGAAAGCTAAAGAGCGCCTGCTCTCTCTAAATGTATAAAAAGAAAAGTTTGTTAATACTTACTCTTCTCTACGTGCTATTGCTATAACTCTGCCTCTATATATAGTACTTCTAAACCTACCTTAGTGCTATATATTATAAAAAGAAGTATGCGTTTATAAACCCTATTTTTAATAGGCTTTTTAACCTTAGCACCTATATAGAGATACTAACCTAAGGTTAGGTTAGCTTCTAGATTTTAGCCGCGCAGGTTCGTGTTTGCAACTTTACCCCTTAGCGCCCAATTCTGCTTCTGGCCAACTCTATCGCCTCCGCCTCCTCCGCTCTTCTTCTTCTTCATCCATCATCACGGTGTTCAGCTGGCTGGCATCATCAACACTCTCATCAATCTCCAGCTCGATACTGTCAGTTCAGCTATTCAATATGGCTGCTGAGAAAACACCGCTCGTCGCGTCGGACGCGTCTGCACCCGTGCAGCCAAGCCACGTGCAACGCTACTCCAAACGTCAAGCGGTAGGAAGACTGTTTGCCATAGCCGCCACAGCTACACTCATACTCTATGGAATTCCGCAGGGTATGTATATCGTTACGTTATATGATTCGCGACTAATTGATGTCCAGTCGACTATGAGCCGACCGGCGACTATCCAGAGGAGAGCGAGCTATGTCTGACTCCAGCTTGTGTGCATGCGGCCTCGGAGGTTCTCTACAACCTATCGCCTCAGTACAAGGAGCTCGACCCATGCGATGACTTCGAAGAGCTTGTCTGCGGTGGCTGGAGAGACCGCCATGACTTGCGAGCTGACCAGGGTGATGCCTTTACCGGCACAATCATGTCGGAGAACTCACAGATGCTGCTTCGCCACATTCTCGAGGCTCCTTACCCCAAAGACTCCGAGGTAAGTGCAACCTTACTATTTAGATCAACCCCAACTAACCTTTCTGTAGCATTCTTACTTCTCACCCATGCAGCTGATGTCAACTTCCAAATCCGCCGATGAGGAGAACTTTGACAAGATGAGAGCGGCTTACGATGCGTGCCTCAACGAAGACAAGATAAAGAGCATTGGCGCTGGGCCTTTGAAACAAGTCCTTGACGAGATCAAGAAGACGTGCTCTGCCATCGCTTCGGACTCCAACTCGATCAAGGACACTATCCTTCTTCTGGCCAAGTACGGCATCACTGGTCTTATTTCAACTGGCACCGGTGCCGACGATACCGACCCCGACACTGTTGTCGTGTCTGTTGGTGCCCCATACAACTTCGGACTACCTTCCAAGGAGCGCTACGAAGACGAGAAACTCGTTGAGAAATACCGTGGTGTCGCTGTTGAAGTTCTCAGCGCGATATACCCCGACCAGGACAAGGCTGTATTTGAGGGTATCATTGATCTCGAAAAGAAACTCGCGGCAGCATCTCCAAGCGAAGAAGATCGCGAAGACGTTACAAAGTCTTACAACCCATTCTCGATCGACGACGCGGCTGCGATCGCTCCCGAGATCGAGCTGAAAGCGCTTCTCGCCGGCCAGGCTCCAGAGGGCAGCGACATCAAACGCGTCATTGTCACGACCCCGAACTATCTGAAGGAGCTGTCGGTAATCCTCGCAGCTACATCCGAGGATGTTCTTCAGGCCTACTTCATTTGGAAGGCCGTCCAGTCTCTCTCTGCTTACGTCGATGCGGATGCTGTCAAGCCTTACCGTCGGTTCGTTAATGTCCTCGCAGGCAAAGACCCTGACTCCGCTCCTGAGCGATGGCGATCATGTGTCAGCCACGTCGATAACGGATTGGGCTGGATCTTGAGCCGCTTCTTCGTAGAGAAGGCCTTCTCCGCCGAGGCGAAGAAGTTCGGCGATACCATCATCACAGACATCAAGACCGAGTTCGCCAAAAAGCTGAACGCTGCTGAATGGATGGACAAGGATACTGCGAAGAAGGCTGTCGAGAAGGTGCACAACATCGTCCAGAAGATCGGCTACCCCACCAAGAGCCCGAACATCATGGACCCACCTACGCTTGAGGAGTACTACGAGACCGTCAATGTTTCATCAGACGCATTCTTCGCCAATGCGCTTGCCATGCGCCGCTTTGAGGTTAAGGAAGAGTGGTCCGCTCTTGGAAAGCCTGTGGATCGTGATCAATGGGATATGTCTGTCCCAACAGTGAACGCCTACTACAACCCTCCCGGCAACGAGATCGTCTTCCCTGCTGGCATCATGCAGTTCCCAGTCTTCGACGTCAATGTACCCGCGTACATGTCCTACGGTGCTTTCGGCTCCGTTGCTGGTCACGAACTCAGTCACGCTTTCGACAGCACTGGTCGTCACTACGACCAGAACGGCAACCTCACCGACTGGTGGTCCAACTCAACAGTAGAGGCCTTTGAGCAGAAGGTCAAATGCTTTGTTGACCAATACTCCAACTTCACCGTTCCTGGCCCCGACGACAAGCCTCTGCACGTCAACGGCAAACTCACTCTTGGCGAGAACATTGCCGATGCCGGTGGTCTTTCCGCGTCTTTCCAGGCTTGGAAGCGCCGCTCGGCCGAGACGCCCAACCAGAACCTTCCTGGTTTAGACCACTTCTCGCAAGAGCAGATGTTCTTCGTTAGCTACAGCAACTGGTGGTGTGGCAAGACTCGTAAGGATACCGCCATCAACCGTGTCTACACTGATCCTCACGCGCCTAAGTGGGCACGTATTCTGGGTACCATGGCGAATTCGAGGGAGTTCAGGGAGAGCTTCCAGTGCAAGGTTAAGGAGCCTACTTGCCAACTTTGGTAAAGAGTGGCAATCTAGCATGTACTGGGTTGTACGTGCCACTATACTTCCAACATCATCATAGTTTGCTGGCACATTCATATCACATGATGACACATGATGCTTGATATTCACTAAACTATATATGCAATCTACGATGCAGTATCATGCCTGCAGAACCAACTCATACTTGCCCGGCTTGAGCGCTATTCTCATCCCCCTCCTCTCTACTTCATACCCACCCTCACCAAGTCTCCTCACAACAACACTACTCTCCTCTCTCGGCAACAGCAAGTACCCCGTCGTACTAGTCGGCACACTAACCTCCATCTTCACCTCTTCACCCCCAGCACCATCATCCCCCTTCTCATACCTAACCTCAATCCCCCCATACGGACACTCCACCCTCCCCTCCACCACCCCAAACTCACTCCCCAACGGCGGCCTAACCCTCCACGTCCTATACGCCTCCGTCTCCGCCTTCACCCCCAGCACCCCCTCATAAAACCATTCATATATCGTGCCTAACATATCATGACACTTGCTCCTACAATTATCCTGCCAGAACTCATTCAACGTCGTCTCGCCCCGCCGTATAAACCGTAAATAACTTGGATGTTCTTCTTGCCTCGCCATTTCCAAGATTATGTCTGGTCGGTTTAGGTCGGAGAGCGTGTTGAAGAGGTATTTCAGGCCGATCTCGCCGGCTTGGATGCGGTTGCCTGCGGAGGCGCAGTCTGCCAAAAAGGCGGTTTGGATGTCGGTGGTGTGGGAGGGAGGGACGAGGTCGAATTGGAGGGCGAAGGCTTGAGCGACCATGTTGCGGTCGTGGGTTGGGGGGTTGTCGCGGGATGTATAGAACGCATATGGGTACTCTTTTTTATCGGTAATGAGGAGGCGCTCGTTGTATACGCGGTAGATGCGATCAGCCCATTCGCGGAACCGCTGCTCGGCATCGGGTTTGCCGAGTTCGTGGGCCATGCGTTGGATGTTGCGGAGGCAGCGGTAGTAGATGGCTGTTTCGATGTTGGCTTGGTTGTTGCCGAAGGCGATGTCGCGGCCCCAGTCGCCGAGGCCGTGTTCGATGAGTCCGCCGTCGCGCTCTTTGGTCTTTATGTATTCCATGTAGCGGACGCAGGGGTCGAATAACCTCTCGAAGACGTGGGTCGAGTCGTAGTAGAAGCGCAGTATCTCTGGGAGTAGTGCGACGGCGCCGCCCCAGGTTATTGTGTCGTGTAGAGGACCGCACATATATCTGATCTCGGGTGCCATTGTAGGGCAAAGACCGTTTGACTCTTGCGCGTCGACTATGTCATCGAGAATCTTCGAGTAAAGTGACTCCATGTCACGGATATACTGCGTGGCTGGTGCGAGAAGGTGCGTTACTTCGAGCCAGCCGAACTTCTCTAGTTGAGGACAGTCAGTGTGGTAGCTGAAGAGGTTGCTGACAAAAGACCAGTAACACATATCGATGAGCTGATTGACATCTTCCTTATCCGTCTTCACGTAGCCGAGACGACGTGCGGCAGACGATACATGCCTGCTCACCAATGAGTGCACGACTGGTAGCCCTTGGCCCTCCTCTAGCGAGACACCTTCGACCTGAATGTAGCGTGCGCTTGTGAAGCAGAAGTCTGGCTCCCATGTTTCGACTCCTGTACCAGCAAGAGTGAACTTGCAGAACACGCCCGTCTCGAACTGCTTAAAGAGTGGATCGGGCATGAATACCTTGCCATCTTGACCAATCGTCTCAGAGAAACGGACGATGACTTTCGAGCCTGCCGGACCGCTGACTTGTATCTTGACCATGGTCGTCATATTCTGGTCGAAGTCGAACATAACAACACCTGGCTCGACCGTTTTGGTCGATCGCGGTTCGAGGTTCTCATGCAACACGACGGGCGGTTGACTTTGGTACTTCAATTTCCCCCTCGGGCCTGTCACGGGCGTCGCAGGCTTCCACTGCTCGTCCTCTTTGAAGCCCGGCGCATCCCATCCGGTAGGATAGGCGCGCATGTCTTTGGTTTCGGAAGAGTAGATGTTGGCTAGTGTGGTCGCACTCTTACGGATACTCCAATCTGGGCCTGTAGTGATGATCTCGTGGCTACGGTCGGGGTAGAACAGATGTAGCTCCATGAAGAAGCAGAGCTCATTGCCATATCGAACGTATGTGTTGTCCTCATAGCATGGCCAGAAGAAACGGTCGTCGCCTTGGTCACCCGCGTAGAAGCCATTGCCGATATGGGCGCCAAGCACATTCTCGCCTTGTGTCAGTATCTTAGACAAGTCGTATGCGACAAATTGCACCGTGCGATGGTAGTTCGTCCAGCCAGGATCTAGGACATGGCCGTTCGCCGCTGCGGGATCGCCATTACAGACGAAGTTGAAATGGCCAAGACCCGATGCGAACGCAATGGCACGAGACGGCTTCCGATCGAGATGTAGCGCCTTGCGTACATAGAGCGGCTTGTCTCCGTTATCGCCGATCCAGACGCCCTTCCATCGATTCGGCTCATCCTCAAACCATGTACGGAAGATAAGGCTGGTATGTGGCATGTAGGTCTGATTCATACTGTATGGTGGCAGTAACCCAGAACATCTGGGGTATGCAGTGAAGAACTCGTTTGCTTTGCCAACCGTGACAGTGCCATCAGAGTCCCATACTGTGACTCTCCAGTAGTGGAAGGTCGCCGATTCGAAACCTCCGTCAGGTGCACAGAGTATATTGCGTTGCCGATCGCTTTCCACCTTTCCGGAGTTCCATACTATTTTATCCCATAATCCTGGTGTCGTGAAGACTTCAACGCGATATGCTATTTGCCGGCTGTCTTCGCGATCTGAATGGAGGACCCAAAAGAAGCGGATTTTGTCTGTGTCGATGCCGAGCGCCTCGTGGAAGCCGTGTATTCCGCATCGCGTGACTTCTAGGACCATACTGAGCGATTGCGGAACTGAGATAACTTGTGCTCGTAAGTTTGGCTTGCTTGAGCAACCACAATGTCGCGCAGCATAGGTTGTCGGAAAGGTGGAGGGTTGGTGGCTGTTACTGCGGGAGGGTTCAACTAATCATTTACATCTTCAACTCATCAGTCAGAGTACGCGTCGTAACAAGATGCTGCGAAATTCGGGTGAATTGGCTGCGAGACCACCGACCGATAGCCTGTTAGGCGTGACATGAGTGTTTGGCACGGTCTTATCCCGACGTGGTCCCGAGGTGGAGACACGCGTCCGGCAGTCTGATTCGACAGCGAGCGCGAATGCGGGGACCCCACCAAGACATTGCAGCTTGGCCTACAGTTCGATCTTAACTCCCGACCCGTAGCGCAAGGCCTTACTGTTCGTAATAATCATTCTCCGACATCTTGACTAGTGGCGAGCACAACCTCTAGCATCGTAGCAAAAGCTCGACATAGGTATCGTACCTTATGATAGTAGTTGCAAGCTGTGGAAATCGAAGTATTGATACAACCACGTAGAGGGCAGCATCATGTACTAGCCTGAACAGTTCTGCGAGATGCGTGCTGTTGTTCCCTCTAGCCCGAGCGTTCGCGACGGCAGTAGAGCGTGACAAGCATTCTAGGCCCCTTGCACAGTCTCCATGATCCGTGCATGGACACATGCGCGTGTCAGCCAATGCTGGCTTCGGGGCAGTAGAGTCCGGGGTAACAAGGGACGCGAAATGGAACCACAGTCCGTTGATACATAAGCCCTGGTGTCGCATGGCGATAGATCCACTTCCCCACACACTATCTCACATCATCGCTCAAGATGGGAGTCGCTGTAACGGTCTTTAGCGCAATCTTTCTGGCGACTGGAGGTAGGATGCCCACCTGGCAAGCGCACGAGCTCACAAGCTGGGTACTGATTCATCCACAGGTTTCCTTTTCGGATATGACTCTGGTATCATCACCTCGACCATCGCCCTTCCTACCTTCAAAGAGTACTTTAACGACCCTTCGGACGATGTTGTCGGTGGTATTGTGTCCGCCTTCCAAGGTGGTGCCATCGCCGGGACTATCTTCAACATGTTGTTCGCAGATGTGCTAGGTCGTCGCTGGACTATCTTCGTAGGAGCGGTCATCTCCATCTTGGGCAGTTCTCTCCAGGCAGGCGCTGTCAACATGGCTATGCTCATCATCGGTCGCTTCATCGGCGGAGTCGCAGTAGGTCAGCTCACTTCGACTATCCCTATGTACGCCGGTGAGCTGTCCGAGGCGAGATACCGTGGCACTCTCTCTGGTTTGCTGCAGTGGATGCTGAGCTGGGGATTCTTCGTCGCTCAATGGCTCGGCTATGGCTGCTCCTTCAACAGCACCCAGTTCTCATGTAAGTCGACCTAGACATGAGTCGCTGTCTTTTCCTGCTAACATGTCTCAGGGCGCTTTCCTCTCGCATTCCAGAATGTGCCTGGTCTCGTCTTGCTTGCTGGCATTTTCTTCCTGCAGGAGTCTCCTCGTTGGCTCATGGAAAAAGATCGACATGAAGACGCCATGGCCTCGCTCAACAAGCTCCGAAGGGGCCACGACGCTGAGACAATCGATCTAGAATTCCGCGAAATCCGTGATGTCATCATCGCAGACCGCGCTCTGGGCAATATCAGTTGGCTCTCGATCATTACGAAAACCTCCTGGCGCAAGCGTCTCTTGCTGGGTTGTGGTGTGCAAGCATTCGGTCCGCTTTCCGGTATCAACGTCATCAACTACTACGGCCCGCGCATCTACGAGATCCTAGGGATATCGACACAAGAGTCGCTCATGATCATTGGTATCAGCGGTGCTCTCTCAATCGTGTGGTGTACCATTGGACTGGCACTAGTCGACAAGTTTGGACGTATCAAACCCCTTCTCATATCGGCAGCGGGCCTAGCGGCTGCTCTTCTCGTCAACGCAGTACAAGGGCAATACTTCGACCCCAACAATGGCGCACAGCTGCGCAGTATGGTGGCCATGAACTTCCTCTTCTCCTTCTTTTACACACCTCTTGGCATCATCTCGTGGGTTTACCCTGCAGAGATCTTCCCCATCGAATGCCGCGCCCTTGGCAACGCCATCACGACTTTTACAAACTGGGTTGTGAACCTCATCTTCGCCCAGTTCTCTCCCCAAGCACTCAGCACGATTGAGTTCAAGTACTTTTACGTCTTCTTCTGCTTCAACATTGTTGCTTTCTTGTGCTATTGGTTCTTCTATCCGGAGACCAAAGGCAAGACCTTGGAACAGATGGACGAGCTGTTTGGCGATCAATTGATACCGCATGCATTGCAAGATCCGGCAGCGGCATCGGCGGCTATGGAAAAGGATGAGAAGCTCCACGCGGAGATCGCGGTCGTCTGATTGCGATTTGATGCGGCCGGTGTGGGCGTTGAGCAGAAGGAATGTCAGAGGGAAGCTGCAGGTGGCGTTGTTGGAAGGTCAACTTCTGGTACGTGCGCGGTGTTTATAGCAACTTATAATCATATATGATGTGAGACCTTCCGAAATTCAATGTGACGTGTATAGAGTTGGCGCAGGCAGGATGTCGATGCAAGCCATGGAGAAGGCGGAAACCTTGGAAGCACATGTGCAGCCGGGACGAGCTAGTACGTAAGAGGAAAGGTGCTGTGCGTCATTGACCCCTAGGCCTCATCCCCGGCGACAGTATCGGCCGCGAAGTAATTCCCGTCGGCCGCCGCCCTCCCCTTTCTAACAAACCACAAACAACAGATTAGGCTTTTCGCACCCAGCCTCGCTGGCCGCACGCACTTTGAGGATGGGTAAGACGCCCAATCGCACTCACACACGCCGAAAAGACCTCATACCCCCACCATCACGCGACTTAACGAACACCCCTTAGGCCTTCTCCCCTGCCACAGTATCAGCCGCAAAGTATTCCCCGCCGGCCGCCGCATCCTCGAAGCCCTCCCCTTTCCAAAAAATCACGAACAGACCCCATCGTCACTGCCCAAATCGCGCCCGGCTTCCCCAAACCCTGCTGCGAGCGAGACAAGCCACTCATGACTCCCGGAATACATAACCACCACATACGCAAAAGGCACTCTTCATCAAATGAGAGAGATCGCAATCCTCAGACTCCCCAAACGCTGCACCCTCAATCTCCTAAACCCCCGTTTGAGCAAGTAGCCCCCTCGGAAAAGGCAAACCACCAGTGACCCAGACCCTTCCGCGAACGCCAATCCGGCACTCCCACGCCACCGTCAGCAGAAAGCTACTGAATTCAATGAAGGTCATAGCATGGAGAGGTAGGTAGATGAATTTGAATAGTTGTCATTCTTCCCAGGCAGTTGATCAATAGATCAGTTCGTAATCTCAACAAAGGCACCTCCAACCCAGATGCAGCCAGTGTAGACGCCTCAAACCCACTTCGATACTGACAATTGTTTCCTTAACAACACACTACCGATCTACAACACAACCTTCACTAAGCCCTCCTTCCTTCACCAGGCTCTCCTTCCTTCACCAGGCTCTCCTTCCTTCACCAGGCTCTCCTTCCCTCACCAAGCTCTCCTTCCCTCGCCAATCTCTCCTTCCCTCGCCAATCTCTCCTTCCCTCACCAATCTCTTTATGCTCGACCCAGCCCTTCACACCATCCATCACTTCTCTCCCATACATTTCAGCAACAATCCTCATCTCCAACCATCCCACGTGCTACAATGAGCTCGTTGACTGGATCGAATGCTTTGGAAAGGACCTCCCAGTCCTTAGCCCCTCGCCGAACGCCCGTTACCGAACAGTCGAGGCATCTGGGAAAACAACCAAAGATGCCAAAGCACCAGGCACCCTAGAAGTCACCCCAGTCGATCCTCTAATAGCGCAAGCCGATGCCATCCTCAACGAACTCCAGCGGACGGAACTTGGAACCAGGTCGATGCTCTCAACCTTACCTCAGCTCGGTCAGAACTCTGAAGGCGACATCAGCAACACCATCTTCCTGTATGTCATCGCGCCGATCATCGAGGTCTTGAATCACAAGTACGGAGACACCTTCGAGTACACGACCGAGCTGAGCCGTAGCATCGAAAAGGAGGATCAGGTGAACGACAAGGCGCAAAAGGGTGTGCGTTTTGACGCCGTCTTCCTCAAGCGCCAAGGCGGGGGGGTGATCGCACTGCTCGAGTTCAAGAGAAAGGAGTACCTAGTGTACAGGGATTTTGAGAGGGCGCTGGTTGAAGAGAAAGGCTCGAGCCCAGATGGACTTCTCAGACGCAACGGCGACATATTCACCAAACAAATCTCAGCCTACGCAGTCAAAAGCGGGTGCAAACACGTCGCCCTCTTTAACTGGGACGATTTGCTGCTGTTTGACTTCTTCCAGCTCGAGAAAAAGACTAACACTGCGAGGTTTATTGGGAAGAAGGCGAGGCTGACCTGGGTGGTAGAGAGGGAGGAATTGCGAGGGAAGCACATGAAACAGCACTTGATCAGGAAACCCTTGTTGGGTTGGCTTCTCCAAGCCTTCAAGGACGCTGGTATGACTCCAGCTAGCTGAGGTTGGCGTCTTGTTCGGTCATGTTTGGGGTTCTTTCTTCTTCTCGGTCTATAGTCTTCTTGATGTTTGGGGTTCTGGCGATGAATGGGTAGCATTAGAAACTTCCAAGATTTAATTGATCACTCTTACATTCAACGGATTATGAGCTCGGCGCTCCCAGCGCCAACTACCTGATACCTCACTATTGCATCTTTGCATCGTCATGCATCGTGTTCTGTCCTCGTCCTCATTGTTGCTGAGAAGCCGCTAGTTGGTTAGGCTGAAACACGTCATCATCCACGGTACATCCCACTTCCACCCCGCACCGGCCTCCCATCCGCTCAGCCACGCCAACCTGTGGAAAGAACTCAACACCCTAGAGCCTACGTTAACGTTAAGCTACCTACTTTGCAGGTCTTTGTTTTAATGCAGTCTGCAGGCCTGTTCATTTTTTTTCTTGTATGAGGTGCAGCCATATACCGAAAGACTTATCACTAGAAGCCATGGTCGTCATCACGGCACGGACCGACCTCTTGGATACTGCGAGCATTCCTACAAGAACGACACTGGTCTGCAAAACCCTGGCTGCCCTGAGCGGAAGTCCAATATGTTCTTCGAGCATATGGAAGAATTTCCATTTGAAGTGAAACTTGACGCGTACCTTGTCTCAGGAGACGCAGACGATGGAAGCTCTGCTCAACCCAGGTATCCTGCGCGCGTACAGCGCTGCATCGAATGGCGAGCTTTCGGGAACTTGCGCTCTTCACAGTATGGTCTCTCGCGTTCCCAATTCGAAGTGCGGATCTTCTTTCATTCTATTGTCTTCGACACCTCCGGGTTAACCACGTCATCAGAGGCCCTGATTAACTCATGACTCATGGCAGCAGTGACGAGAATACTCCCCGAGACGCCTGCTAGCATTGCACCGCAAGTTCGCGTGAGGTTTTCGAAACAGCGCGAACTCTAGGCTCCCGCGGGGTCCAGTCTAGAATGAGTAACACGGACCTTGTAGGGCTTCTCCCCTGCACTCGAGACTTGGGGTGCAACCCGAAAGTGGAAAGAAAGAGATTTTTGTGTGGCGACTCTCGCCGTTTCCAGCTCAATGAAGGCGTCTTGCGCACTTGGCTCAGACTCTTCGCTCCTTATATAAGCCCTCTTTCTCTCTCGTGTTGTAAGTCAAGCTGATAACGTAAAGTCAAAAGCGTTTCCGACTCACCAGAAACCTGTCGCACATCCCAACACTAAGCATTACTGTTGGCTGCTTCCCTTACACCTCTTTCCGGAAGTCATAAGGAAATCTCTTCAACGGTCATCAGGCCCGGAAGCTTTCTTCTGAACTTTTACCCTCCGGCCCATCCTTGACAGCAAAACCACAACGTCATTGCTACTGGCGATATTTCATCTCGACATCGAAATCAGACGGCCCTCCAACGAGTTTCTGCAGATTAGAGTAGAGCAACATCGCCCGTATCACTGCGCATACGCATTGCATCCTCCATGTCTTCTTCCAACACACCAGGACGACTTCCAGAGATAGCCAGCAGTTCTGGATCTGAGCCAGTCAGACCAATACGTCGCAAGCCTTCGCATGTAATCGGCTCTAACCGCATTCAACGTCGGAATGGAGATTTCCACAATCGCCACTCTGATTGTCAACCGGGCGCCGGCGATGTGTCTCTCGATCACCTCATATATCCCGACGAGGATGTGGGCTATGGGCCAGTTCTTCGTTCGCATCGCACAGCTCACCATGCTCAAGAAGACGCTTGTTTCACACTGAAGGACCGAGACTCGCAATCGGATGAGGAATTTACACCTTTGTCCAAGGAATCATCTCTACCTGACATGGACCCCGTCGATCACTTCGAGACTATCTCTGCAGGCCCTGATGCACTCGCTGCGCTCCGAAAGCACATTTCGGCCGCTCTACTTGCGAGGCTTCCCGATCTGAGCGACATGGAGTTCTCAAGACATAGCAAGCCATCGTCGATGGCGAATCTGCGCTTGGTACTTGGAACCTACACTGACAGATCTATAAAGAAGTGGGGCAACACTGTGTATGCGTACCTCAGTCCGAATTCGAATTCCTCAATCGGTCCCAAGTTCATTATGGAGGTCGATGAAAGGCACAGATATGGAGGACATGACGTTGTGGAAGTTACATGGTATGAGGCCATATTTGAGCAGAGGGTCGCAACCAAACTTCCCTTCAAACAAGCTGCAACAAAAGACGAACTGTATGCCGTGGTTAAGTACTACTTTCTGTTGGCGGTGGAGGCGGGAGTGGAGAACTTTCACCATGACTTCATCCCATTGAACAGGTCCTTCGTCCAGCACCTGACCAGCTTATGCCTACATTATGTACCAGATCTTCGGACACCGACGCATTCCACTGAGGGATATACATACCATGAGGAGCCACCTCCACGATATCCCACGAAGTTTGATCGACGGCGTCCCCCAGATTATGAGAAAGAGCTGGGTGTAGCAAAGGTCCATCAGCTTGGACAAGTCAGCATCAACGCATCCAAATTTTACCCAGGCAAGAGCGACAATAGCAATGCAGACGGCGAGTCTGTCAGTCTGCAGCGGTCAAGATATGAGAAACAAGCTTCTCGAATGTCAGGCTTCGCAGCCGAGCCATCTTTGCATATCTCAGCTCAACCACGGCGCAAACCTATCACTGCCTTCTCAAGCAACCATCGATCAGCCCTACCACGTCCCCTCAGTCAGAGCGAAGAAGCCTTAGTTCGCGGTTCGACTTCTCCGCGCAATGCCATCTCTTCGTGGTTGAAAACAGTGGCTGAAGAGCTAAACCTGCATCAAGATGCTCTACCTACTAAGGCACGATCAGGAAAAAGGCGGGAGCTGAAGACCAACAAATCTATGTCGGATGAAATTGACTGGCTAATGCGAGGATCGTCGTCGTCGCAAAGCTCGGTGTCCTCTGGTTACAAAGACATGGACCATTTCTCGAACCGCGACCAGAGCAGCTTGTTGAGTGGTACAGACAACTCCGTTTACTCGTTCCCGGACCAACACGCCTGGAAGCCCGATGACGAGTGCAAGGGTTTGACGCACCTCGCGATGACAGAGCCGCTCCCCGATAAACATCGGCACGATGTAGAGTGGAGAGCGTTCCGTACTGCGACTGCTTCTCTTCCGGGAGTAGATAGAGATCGTCGTGAGCGCCGCACATCGAGGAAAGCAGAGCGTGCTCGCAATTCAAACGCCAACCGCCGTCCCAGCTCCACTTGTGGTTCGGTTGTTTCAACCTCTTTGCTTCAGCGTCAAAAGAAGGTCATTGATAGTCGCGTCGAAAAGACACTTCATGACATCGAGGATCACTACATTCGACTGAAGAAACTCCGACAGCATCAAACCAGTATCAAGGCGGAGATGGTAGAAGCAAAGCGCCGTGAAGAGAAGGAGAACCGGTTTGAAGACGAGGACATGATACGCCGGAAGGACGAGGAGAATGGTGGTAACGATAGCAACAAGTCGAGGCTTTTGAGGCTGTTAGAGTGACAACTGTATTCGTATAGGAAGAGGAGCCTTTGACTCGATTTGAAGGAGGATGACTGGGCTTGCATAAGACGTTGCTTTTCAGGGTGGCGAGAGAGCAGGTGCTGTGGGCATGGTCTTTGGCTTCTTGGACATCACGCTGTATTTACTTTGATATGAGATGTGTAACAAGAGACTAGCAGCGTAACACGTGTTTCGTACCAATTTCCCGTTGTCCTTATCTCGTCTTCACCGCGTCTTTGCACCTTAGCGCGTCCAAGTCGAGCGTTTGCTACCTAGATAGGCAGTCCACGTCACGTAAACAGAACGCGTCCATCAAAACAACGACCTTGACTAATTCTTGTTGCAGCATACATGTACTCCCGCCTACAACCCACACAATCGCCACACCGGTTGTAGTCCCCAGGCCCTACAGACCCAAACAGATCTCATAAAAGACGACACGTATTCGGTAATCACGCCCAAGATGCCTGTCGCTAAGGCCAATCTGGTCCAGCTCTACACGGAAATTGGCGACGCTAGCTTACTCGATCACGCGCCGTACGACCAGATAGTCACCGCTTCGCAGTATTACGATCCTCGCGCTATATCCTTCAAGATCAGATTTGGCTATATCGTCGACAAATACAGCAAGAGACCGCAAGAAATCTGGGTCCTCTTCTACCCACCCACCAAGGAAGGCCGGCATCCCGAGATGCAATTCCACTCATTCGACCCCGATACGAATGCTTTCACCAAGCACGATGACAGCAACATCAGCACCACTGTCTCTGCACTCGCTAGCGCGTTCAACAACCCGAAGAAAGCAGCGAAGGGCAAGCACGTGGCGCTAGCCAAGTACTACTACCTAAAGGCTCTCGTATCAAGGGAGGCGGGAGGCGCTAGCGAGCTGGAGATATCTATACCGATTACTCGCACTTTCGTCGACAGCTTGAGAGTCGTTTGTCGGGAGTTCGAGGAAGCAAAGGAGAGATCATCGCGCTCACCGTCAGTAACGCTGATTGATGACCATGACAGCGTCCTCAGTGATCCTCCAGAGGACCTTTTTGAGCCTACTCAGCCAGTCAAGGCAACCTCAATAATCACTGCCGAGGTATCCTCCGTTCTCGTAAGTACCCAAACGAAAAAAACAACACATCCTTGCAACAATACTAACGTCGACAGACTCATGATGTCAACGTTGAGCAACTCGAAACCCTCCTTGCGGTCTGCGACGACGAGCGCGAGCTCCAGGCTTCCGACAGTGCTCTAGATACAGAGAAGAGGGCGTTGGAACAGCGGTGCCACGTGAACAAAGAGAAGCAGGCCGAGTTAAACGCTCGCCGTGAACTGGTATTCAAGGGCATGAGCTTGATGGATATCTTCAAGTTAGGCGGGCAGATGGAGCGCGAGGAGAAGCGCCGAAAGCTCGGTTAGAGTCGCTTGATGAAGGTCTTGACGTCCTGTATTGTCAGTCATACACTTGAACGCTTAAGCAGCAAAGCCTACCCTGGAGGCTACACAGCGTCTTACTTGTATAACTTGTAGATCTTAATGTATTGTATACTTCTGAAGTACCAATTTCAGCCGTACACCAGGATTAAATAGAAAAGAGACTCCTCGTTATGCCGTTGACCTACCTTCCAATGATGTAACAGCAATAGATAATGATCAGGTAGTGAATGATCCAGAAGCAACTAATACACTCTCGTAATTAGCGCATCTCGCTGAGTATATGACTACCTCGTTTGATCATTGCGGTAGGCACCGCATCTGCATCCGCACACTCAGCTTTACCACACCCAAGCGTGCAGACCTGTCAAAGACATTGTGGCTCTCACCACCATGTCCGCTCCATCACCTCAACCTGACGACAGCCCTTCCTACGCCAAACTCAAGCGCGACCTTGGCGACGACGCGCCTCTGCTCAACTTCCTCCCCTACAAGCGCGCCACTTTCGAGCCGCAAAACGAGATCGCCGAAGCAGCGCCCGAGCGACTCCTCTATGGCGACATGATGGAGAGCAAAGGCTCGCTCTGGATCTACTGGACCCTCAACTACCATAACAAGAAGAAGAGCCACCACGACTACCGGATGATAACCTTCCAGACCATCGAAGGCGCCAAAGGCCATGAGGCGGGCGTGCGCCCGGGTTCAGTCCAGAACGTCGCATTAGCTTCAGCGCCTTTCAAGCATGCGAAAGACCCCGATGCGGTCGCAGCTATCGCGAAGTACTTCTTTATCCGTAGAGGTATCGATATGCAACTGCAGTATCCGGTGTCGTCTGGCCCGTTCAAAGAGGCCCTCATGCGCGTCTGTCAGCATTACAAGGCCATATACAACGAGACGCAAGCCAACAAGGCAGCAAGCCGGCGCTCATCAGTCATGCCTACTGGAGGGCGCGATCAGAGTGTTGTTTCGCAGGTCCAAGACCCACGAGAACCTTCGTATGCAGCTTCGTTAGCGCCATCAAGACAGGTGTCGCGCGCGCCATCCCGTCCCAAGAGCATGCGCAGTGTGGACACTCGCAAGCGCCGGCACAGTTCGGGCTCAAATCTTGAGCCTCAGCCTGAGACAGAAAAGCGCAGCGCTCCTCGCGAGGGATCTAGCAACTTCTCATCCTATTCCCGACCACTTTCCCCGTTTCTCGCGTCGGTTCAGCCTTCCCTTCACGAGCGCCCTGAAGATGAAGAGATGCGAGACCTTTCCGTTAGTAACAACAACGAAGCAGATCAAGTACAACCAGCCGACGGCGCACGCCCGGACGACATCGACCGCGAGACGATGATGGATCAATACATTGCGCTCAAAGCCCGGGAAGAAGATCTTGACAGTAGAATCAGCGACATGGAGACGGAGCGTGTACGTATCGCGGACCAAGTAGCGGGGCTACAAGCGGACATCAACACGATCAGCAACCGGCAGGGCGACTTAAAAGAAGAGAAAGATCGCGTGCGAGCGGAGAAGAAGCAGCTGCAGATTCAGCTAGATAAAGATGAGCATCTGGACTTTGGGTTTGAAGCTGGACGGAGGATGGAGACTAAGCGTCAACGGCGGGAGTAGTCTCCGGAAGGCACGGACCTACCCCCGACGCACTGCTTGGAGGTGCTGATAATTGCATGTTTGATGGTTGGTTAGAGAAATGGCGGGGTTAGATCCTGCGTTCTTTTCGCATGACCTGGGAGGAGCAAGGGATGACTAGCTGCAGATGGACGTGGCCCGAGGAGGATACCTAGGTAGCTCAAGTTACCAGTAGAGACGAATTGATCGTGTGTACAGAAGTAGAACTGGTAACAGATGGACTCTCTACAACATCCTCAATGCTTTGAGTCAAATTAATTGGCAACATGTCGATGGAAAGGGGGAGAAACTGAAGGAGCTGTGAATTGAGTTTCAGGAATCCTGAATCAGCTAGTGGCCCCCGCAAGTTGGATGACGCATGACGTAATCAGCAAATGCGCCAACGGTAAAACTCTTGGCTCCCCAACGTAAATTCGCGTCGCGTCCTTTCCTCGCGAGCGATCACCACCTCGACCCTTCCAGTATGTACGAAGAATTTTAACCTGGGACGTATCGATACCTTGTGGCCCACGTGCGATTGCGTTCATGCAAACCACGTCACGCATTTCCGAGCAGCTGTGAACGACCCACATCTCGCCAAGGGAAGAGCGGTCTGAACAACGATTGACACGATCTCTATTTTGTACTTCCCAATATTTTTCATAGTACTCGAAGCTTTGATATCAAGACAACATCATATTCCAATCTTCGCACACGCATCCCGTACTTGTCCAGAGCCCGCATAGCCTTTCCCAGCCCAACAAACAAACTATGGACTCTTCCGACGGCTTCTCATTCAATGATCTCAATTGGATGAGACAAAACGAGATACCAAATACTGTGAAGACAGCGCTACTATATGGCGAGATCCGTGGAACGGGAGAGAAAGCTGATGTCTGGATCTACTTGGACAAGGCCACGACGTCCCTCATCTGGCAGATCTACTACCCCGAGGGCAACGCCAAGCCTCAAGTCATCACCGTTGAAGAGGCTCTAGAGAAAGCGAAACCCTGTGCCTGGTTCAAGCTTGCCACAACCCCGGAGAAGCTGGAGGCCTTGGCCACATACTATTTCGCGAGAAAGAAGTTGACGAAGAGATACCAACCGAAACTCACGTTTGAACAAAACCGACTACTCAAAGCCATGCTTGGTAGTGAGGCTCCATCCAAGATCGTCAAACTACGAGTTCGTGTCCCCGAATATCTTGGTCGAGAACAATCACCAGAAGCCCTGGTTGAACCTCAACAACCTTCAGAGGTCGTTCCAAGTCACAGAGCCCGCTCAAAGTCAACGATATCAGTCCATCAGCTACCCTCACCATGCAGCACTACCGACTACGACGCAAAGGTATGTTACGAAGGATACAGTTGTAACACATGTCATCTAACAGCATGCAGCGCGATGATGAATCACGAAGATTGAGTGGTGCAACTTTGATCGAACCACTCGACCCAATCGACCGCTACTTTGATCTCGAAGACCGAATGGAGACCGCCTGCACCAACATAAAGCGCCACAACAACCGAATAGAGGACCTGAAGCGGAAGAGGTCGGAGATTGAGAAACAAATCAATATGGAGGCGGAAGCTGTAGAGTTGCTCATCGCTGAGAGACATCAAGCCAAGGTCGCGAAGGACCGACTTTGGAGTACGTTGTCGAGGGAAGAGGCCTACGAGCTAGGTCGCCTAGACACCGCAAGAAAGATTGCCAGAATCGATTGAGCTCAAAGCCGATCCATGGCGTGGTGTCGAGGTACTGTCATTTTCTGGAACGAACTATGTGGATGGAAGTGGATGCATCGCTTTACGAGTAGTCACACAAGCCAGCCTACGACGACCAGTCGCCAGATAGGAACTCCAATCCTCTGCGATTAGTACGCAGGCGCGAAGAACATCGCAATACCGGTCACCAGTTCTCTCAGCCTTCACTTCGGGACTTTGTCTATTCGCGCAAATCTCGTCGCGTGGGTATCATTTGGGTTGCGGACGTCGTGGCTAGCACGTCGCTACGTAACATCGCAGTACTAGTGGGTGGCAGCCAAACTATCACATTGCGCACTCATGCGAGTCATGGGAAGCGACGCGTATAAAACTACTTGACTATACGTCTGATCCTCGTCATCACACACCACTACCCTCGCTGCCGAAACGAAAGCCTGCACCGACCGGCAGCGCGAAACTCCCTCCATAACAAGGACCAACGATCGAATAGACCGGAGCATCGCGCTATCAACAAATTCTTCCTTGGACATCATTGAGGCGTCATAATACCCAAATACTCCTGATGATTGACCAGCATCGAACAGCGAAAGGCGAAGTCGCGGAGTGCGCATGCAGATGAACTGCCTAGCAATACTCAGCGACGCGAAGTCAAGATCTGCGCTCCAGACACCAAGTAGACCTACTAGTCCAGACCTTTGGAAGCCTGATGTCAGGAGCTGGAGGAGGAGTTTGAAGATGGAACACGAGCGTTGTGGCGCTGTACTTTGGACGCATGAATGAAGTAGGACAGTTTTGGAACACACTACCGTGTGGAATACAATACGATAGCTACGTGATTACAGTAACTTCTAGAGTCTCCGTAGTCTGTAAACGTCATACTGATCGTGTTGCTACTGCCGCTGCTACCACGGTACCAAGAAAAGTCCCCGTCCAAGCCATTAACGCCGTACTAGCAAAGCGTACACTAGTCTTCCTCGCTGCTGTCGGTCTCGGACTTTGCATCCTTCGTCTCCCACGCTCTCTTCATCATCTCGGCTCCAAGGAGGAAGATTTCGCGCTCCTTCGGGGTGAGTGACGACTGAAGATGCTTCATCTCGACTCTAATGCGCTGGTTCTCTTGCTTCAACTCCCGGCCCTCCACCTGCATGTCGGCTAGCTGAGTCTCAAGAGCTTTGATCTCATTCCGCACGTCCTTCTGCTTTTCCTTGTTGATCGTGATGTTTTCCTTGCACCTGCTCTTTCTATCGATGGCTTTACGGTAATCGTTGGCGAAGTCAATGGGCGACTGGGAGTTGGGGCTCTTCTCGACCTGGTAGCCTGTTAGTATACAACGGGTTTTAGATGATCAGGGGAAACTTACGAGGACCTCTGTAGAGTCTCGGCGTGTTGATGAGGTACGCGAAGTGTCCATAGCGTCACTGTTGTCCGCCTCAATGGGGTCCGAGTGGATGAGGAAACCTTGGCCTGTGTTGACCATTGCCGAGGACGAGGGTTGTACTGTAGCCGTCGGAGGAGTCGATCGCAGTGGTGGTGTGCTCGTAGTCAGTCGCTTCCTGGGTAGATCTGGGGTCATGGTGCGAGCCCTCTTGAGAGAATCGCCTTCGGGGACAAACAAGGTCGGTTCTTTTGGTACTGCGGGAATCATAGAGACCGTAGGAGCGCGCTGAGGGGTGGGCTGCGGAGTGCGCCTGGCCTTGGCCAGTTTGACGGGTGGGCTGACCACTGCAGGCTGGCCGTTCACCTTCACCACCGAGCCAGCTCTTACTCCAGACTGAGAGACTGACCGCTTGACAGCGTGCACGTCCTGGGCGGGCGAAGCGTGCGTCCTCACCACCGAGCCATCTCCTTCTGGCCTAGACTGAGAGACAGAGGGCTTGGTACTGTACGCGTTCTGTGCAGCAGAGGCGCGTGACTTCTCCTTCTCACTATTCGCGGCCACCTTGACAGCGTACTCTCCAGCCAGCTTGCATGCCGCAGTCAGCCAAGTGATGAAGTAACCATTGACTATCCATGGCACTGGTGTATTAACGCCCTTGAAGATGAAGTAGTACTTGATCACTACGCGGAGCTGGTCCAAATCCATAGTGCCCGCTTTCTTGAGGCACTTGAACGCATTTGCCTCAAGAACAAGTCTGAAGAGGTCAGTACGTGTTCTACATTAGCTCATAAAGCAGGAATGACTTACCTCACCGCTTCCTCCGCGCTTATGCCTCCTCGGAGCTTGCCGAGACGGTCAAAGATATTGAAGCGTTGCTCGGGTGAGCGGCCAGCGGCGTGGTCGTTCTGCAGCAGAATCCACACCTGGCAATCTTTATCCTTCCCATCCTTGATGGTGCCGAAGAGCATACGAAATGGCATCATATTTGGACGCTCGTTCTTATGGTCAACGAAGGCGACAAGCCGGACCTTGGCGACAGGGAGATGATGGAGAAGTGGGACACGGGCTTGGGTTTCGGCAAGGGCCGTATCGGCCGCACCTACTTGGTTTTCCATGGCCCTTGGAACCAATGCCGAGATTGAAGCAGGTGCTTTCGGTGTAAGGTAGCTGAGTCGGTTGTCGCGTCGCGTTTTGTGTTGATCGCGGCGTTTGCATTGTATGGATGGGGTTAGCGTGGCTCTAGCGCGCTTTCGATGGAGAAGGTGTAGCCTAGCCATGAGGTACCCGGGAGGTATTCGCTGAATTTAATTTAAGCTTTTGTTTCCGTAGACGACATTGAGTACCTCCTGGGTACAGTGCATGCTGGTGCAACTCTGCGAACATACTCTATCAGTACCTGAGTACCTGGGAGCTTTCCATGACCACACACGCCGTTGAGTATGTCGCAGTCAGCGCCTCAGCGGTATGAGGTCTTCGACTTAGGTGTATGGCGGTTCATCTGCTACGGGATCTTCAAGCTTAATCTGTGCGTCGATTATACCACTAGCGTTGAGTCGGCTCTGATTTTGCATTTGCTCTCGCCTTCCCGGATATCAAAGTTCAACAATAGTACTGTGTCGCCTGTCAATGACGACTGCAAAGGAGACTCAAGCGACACTGCCTTTACGATGGCAACGCTGCATCAACAGACTGAACGCCACGCTAGTGCGCCGCGGCTTATTCACAGTCATAGAGGAAGTGCTCTCTCCTGCTACACCAACATTCAACCAGGCAATTCTACAGGGACGCAAAGCTTTGAAAGCCCCACTCGGGGACCGAAAGCAGAGTGATGGTATAACAGTTCCCGTGTGGGCGTACATACTCCTCGATAGCAATGGAAGTGAGCCATCGATCGTGTTTCGCGACGAGGTGCAGGTTCATTCGAACGGCGTGGAATCGGCTCAACTATACCCGCGATCTGCTTCGTCCTTATTGCGAAAAGCGAATCATCTCAAATCACCGTTCTGTCTCCTACATCAAGAAACAGACGAAGGTGTCAAGGATGGGCGCGGTATGCTTTGCGCAGTCATCGCCTACTACGCGCTGATAGCAGGGTTGAGCGACTGTGCCATCCGATGGCGTCGGTTTGACGCCTGTATGATTGCCGCCCTGGATTATGTCAACGTTACCCTGAAATGGATGAGCGAAATAAAGCATGAGCCGACGCCCAGCACGTCGACAGCCATGAGACCTTCACTCATCGTGAGACTCCCAATAGGTCGAGAGGCTCTTGGAAGGATAACTGGAGTTCCCCATGGCTTCGAAGTTCCAGACAGCGAGGACGAAGAGGATATCATGCTTCCCAATGAAGACATCCAGGAGCAGCCAGATAATCCAAACGCCACGCACCAACGCGCAGTCCCCGTTTTAGAAGAGGTACCAGACACCATCAACAGCGTCTTCGGAGATGACGTGGCCGGTGTCGCAGAAGAAGTCGACAGCGTCATCGGTGATGCCAACGACAGTATCATTTTGGCAAACAGTAGATCCCAAGTACAGGGAAACGAGCAAGCATGCTATCCCTCGTTAACGATCAGGAAGCGCAAGCTAGAGGAGATAACGGCAGGAAGCGATGGCGATTTGGTCGAGGAGATGGATGGGCACGGTTGGCGGCAAGCTTCTTGGGGCCGATCGCGAAGGAGTTAGGGTGGTTGAGTATGAGGAATCGATAGGATGATACTGTTTGGAAGGTCACATTGTACAGTAGAGTGTTGGGTATCGTCACTTCGAAGTCAGGAGGGCAGCGGCGAAGGCCGGTTATTACCTCCGCCCGTGCTATTGCCGGCCTTTGGAGCTAAACCTATCATGAGCTAGCGCAATCTGAGGAATACCCGCAAGTCTGCACACATCCCCCATCGATGACTACTACAACTCACTTCTCTCACCAGACGTCTGTCTACGCCCTTTCTCATTCCCCTCCAGCGCCGCCACCGCCTCATTACTCGCTTTCAGGTGCTCAAACTTCGGTGCATCTTCTCCTAATCCCCATGCAAACACACCACCAAGCCCCTTGTCCTTCATGATGATTCGCATCTTGCGCTTAATAGCCTCAGGCGTATCCCAGGTCCAGAACAAGTTCTCTTCGGCATCCCAGTAGTACTGTCCACCACTAATCTCGTCATAAACACCATTCTCCATCGCACGCTCGTACGATGCGGACAGTTCTTCGGGAACAGAGTCGTGCCATGAGAATGCGCCAGCTTTCCCTAGGTCAGCGCCTGTAACAGGGTCTTCCATGAGTTCTGTCGCGCAGCCGATGGGGTTGACACTGCATGTCGAATTCGCAGCGGTCTTGTACCATTTGATGTAAAATGCCAGTCCCAAGTTCGCCTTCTCAGGCGGTACGCCGGCGTCGAGGTATGCATCGATGGCTTCGAGTGAGTTCTGGATACCGGTATGATGCTTTGTCACGTTGTCGCGACGGTTGAACATGTCATATGTCATGATGTTCAGGTAGTCGACTGACTCCATGATTGAAGGGATGGTAGATGGGGTGAAGGCTAGCATGTCGCGTGATAGACCAGGCACGGCTGCTGAGATGACCTTCTCAGGCCCTACCGCTGAGCGGATTTCTGCTAGTAGCTTGGGGTAAGCAACTATCTCCCAAGCTTTATTGGAGTTGAGATGGCCAGGTGTTTTGTAGTCTTCGCCGTTGCCACCTGGGTATTCCCAATCCATGTCGATGCCTGTTCTAGTTAGCAAATAGCTCTAACGTAGAGACCATAGGATGCAACGCACCGTCAGCACCGGTCACGTCAAGCATAGCTTTGACGTTGCTAGCGAATAGCTTGCGGCTTTCTTCTGTTCTAGCGGCTGTCGAGAAGCCATCTGTGTCACCCCATCCGCCAATCGCAACTTGGATGATCGTTCCATCAGCAAATTTGGGGCGAACTTCTTCAATGGTAGTGAAGAGCGGCCATTCATCTTGCTGGGGAGTGTTGAAGGTATCAGAGCGCATGAAGGCGAGGGCCACATCAGTAATGTTCGATACCAGATTTAGCTCCGGCACCACGTTATGTTGCCTGGTAACCATCAGCGACTTTGGTTCACATAGCATTCACAGGCTTTGGCTTTACCCTGTCAGATACATGATGTACTTCAGCCTCGTCGTGGTGGCCGCTGCAGCAGCGAACGTCCAGGTCATGTAGAGCCATAGCCAAAGTGTTGTAGCCATAGTTTGTGATTTGTCTGGACGTCAAGGCCTTTTCAAAAGGGTACTAAGACGCGTCCAGCCGTGGTATGGTGACAGTGGCTGATGGCAGCGGGTCCCGAAGATGCCCCGCAATTGACTAGGTCCTTCACGGACTAGCGTCTTTGGTCGACATCCCGTCGCACCTGGGCACCTCCAGGGCTGGGTAGGTGCCCGGCAGTCGCGTCTCGTCGAAGGTCAACTCCAAAAGGCCTCGGCCATCGCAACGATAATACCTACAGCTGCTCTGAACGGAGCTGGATCGAGTTTCATGGAGCGTCATGAGCTGACAACTGCTTATTGTGGCTTGCCCCGCTGTCACTGGACTGGCTGGAGCCGTTGCGCGATTGGTAGGAAGAAGCCAAGAGCTTCAGCCTTCCGGCGAGGGTGTCATTCGCGCATTTCATCTTCAGCCTGATCGGTCTGTTGAAGGAAATCTGCGACCTTTCAGCCTACATCCCTTCTCCAGCATTCCAAGGTTTCTTCTACTTTCCTATGGGCGTACATTCACGCAAACGTTATAAGAAGCGCAACCATGTTCACTCCCACGACGGCCGGCTCCCTATCGCCCTACGAAGCTCTCCCTTTATCGCGAGGAAAGATACGGGTTCTGGAGGTTGCGCCCGCAAGCTTCGGTGAGCCCGTCGAGTGCACCATGAAACGCATCTCGCTTCTCGACGATCCGGTGCCAGCCTACGAGACTATCTCATATTGCTGGGGAGCTCCTCGAGATCCGTCCACCATAGAGCTCAATGGACACCTGACAAAAGTACCGGCAAGCTCAGAGGCCGCTGTTAGACGCATGCGACTTAGCGATCGACCGCGAGTACTCTGGATCGACGCCATATGCATCGATCAGTCGTCGACGACAGAACGCAGTGCACAAGTAGCTTTGATGGCGACCGTGTATAGCAATGCGCAGCACAATCTCGTTTACCTTGGCGAAGATGACGACGACATGGCTGAGAGAGCCATCAAGGCTCTCCAGGACGTTATGGATGACATGCGCCCCGCGACTGCAGACTGCACCCTACTGTGGGAAACCGTTCGCAGTGGGACAACGGGCGCCGTTGTAACCTCAAATGAACCTTTCAGCGCGAGTGTTGACTTCGAAGCTCTTGAAGCTCTTTTCAGTCACCACTGGTTCAGGTAAGACTGTACGCCGACCATCTCACGTCGAGTTGAACTCAGCGATTATAGGCGTCTGTGGGTGCTTCAAGAAGTGGTTCTTGCATCATTCAATACCTGCCATTGGGGTACTTATACTTTCGATCTTCTCTATACAGTACGAGCTGTAGCATGGCTCATGTACAAATATCGATACATCCCTGATAGTCTTTGCAATTGCGTTGGCCTGCGCTGTGCCAACGAGATGTTCGAGATCCTCTACCCCGACCGTCGTTTCGCTTCGAGGCGCGGATATCTAGCCAATATGTACGTGACCATTCGAGCATTCGAAAAGACCGAGCCAAAAGACAGCATCTTTGCCATTTTGGGCTTACTGGACAAAGACACGTTTCCAGAAAGCAGTCAAGCAGCATTACTTGAGGTTGACTATGCGAAATCGCTTTCTAGCGTAGTGCGAGATGCTACACGGTATTCTCTGTGTCAAAGAGGCGATCTAGACGCTTTTAACATAATCAATCACTACTTCGACGTTTTAAACGATTGCCAATCGTTTCCGACATGGGCCATTCGCGCAGATCTACAACGGGAAGCTTGGGACGCTTCATACCTACCTGATTATTTCAATGCTAGTGGCGGCCTCGAGGCGCCATCTTTACTTGATGATGTTTCTCTTGGCGAAGAAGTGCTGCTTCTCCAGGGAATAGTTGTCGATGAAGTATGTCAAACGACCGCCACGTGCCTAGAAAGTACTTACAAGAGCGACGAAGAGTTCCATGAGTGGCTGATCTCTGTCATGGGTACAGTTTTGCGCCACTGCAACGTCGCAAGTCGGGAAGAGCTCTATCTAGCCACGGCTTTCACTCTTGTGGTTGAAGAGACCTGGGGTGGAGGACGCGCACAGTCGAGTGATCTGCAGGTCCTTCTAACTTATCTCAAGAGCTTGGCCCCGGACGATAATGATGAAGCCTCAGATGGCGACAGGATCACGAAAGATTTTGACTCGGGAAAGATGATCTCGATGCGCGAAGGTTCTTACCTAGGACATTGTATAGACCGCCGTTTCTTCGTTACCGGGGCTGGGCGCGTGGGTATAGGACCTCGTTGCATGCAACCAGAGGATATCGTTGTAGTCCTAAGAGGAGGCAGATGGCCCTTCATCCTGCGAAAGAAAGGCGACAGTTATTGGCTACTTGGTATCGCGTACGTGCATGGCATTATGGACGGCGAGGCGGTGCAGATGCACAAGGCTCAGGGCGGATCAGAGGAGGTGTTTCATGTACGATGAAGAGGACACCTTTCTACAGGAACGGTCCTGCGCAAGTGTAGTCCTGGGCGACCGGTAAAGATTCGAAGAAGAACGCCTACCTGGACTACTATCGCAACAATCCGCAGACTCATCCTACAATGATTGGAACATACACAGGACCCCCAACCAAGCCCCAGAATAACGACCTCAAGCACGACCAACACGCATCACCAACACATCACACACATCACTCACACCACTCATTCACTCATCACTTCCAAAGCCACAAAGCGAAACACAATCAAGCACATCATAACACACATTCAATACATCTCTCTTACTCACACCATACGGTGCTTTCCAACTTTATGCATTTCCTTATTCTCCACCACCCATACCATGCATACGCCCATTGGGTATCATGACTCCATACCCAGTGCAGTCCAATCCAACCCAATCCATTTCCACACCATGCTATGCAGTACTTTCGTGTATGAAGCAGATAAAAAACCCAAAAAGAAAACGCCCTCGCTATGCATACAAAATCTTTATATGATACACTCCTTCCTCCAACATCTTTGACTTCGCTCCTCCTGTCCATGGTGTGACGCGTAGTTCAATAGTGAAGGGAAGGCCAGGGTACGGGGACGGAAGAATCAGACGACTAATCTGAGAGTTCAATGGCATCGTCTTCCGTTGCACCTGGTTTGCCGTTTGCACCGGGGTCTGCTGCGCCGCCTCCTTCGTCACTGCCGTTCTCACTACCATCGTCTTCATCTTCTTCTTCGTCCTCGTCTTCCTCGTCGAAGGACTCTGCATCCTCATCTTCGTCAATCTCGTCTTCCTCGTCGAGATCGGAGTCTTCGTCGTAATCGAGCAGTTCTTCGTCGTCGCCGTCCTGCATCTCAGAGTCTGCGTCATGGTCGCGGTCGTAGTGCTCTTCCTGCTGCTCCTGCTGTTGCTGGAAGGGTTGGGCTTCGGAGGGAGTAAACTGAGCGCCAGGGTAAGAAGAAGTGGTACCGAAGTGGTCATAAGACTGGACGTCCTCTTCGTTATCGGTCATGATGGCGTGCTCATCCTGAGCATCGACATCGATGACGTGTGCGCCGTTCATCAATGCAAAATCGCTAGTGAACTGGTCTTGCTTGTAGCTCGCCGGCTGGGATGAAGTCTGCTGGACGAAGGAAAGCTGTGTGGGTATCGGTGACGAGATATCCAGTGGCTCTGTGCTGGCGGGTCGGGTGCTAGCGGGTGATTTGCTGAGACCCTGTTCGATTCGGTATGCGCGTACGGCTTCCGCGCCTTGGCCGTAGAGATGGCGCGGTACGAAGCGGCTTGTACGCTCCCAGTATGCTGGACGGTTCTTCATGGATGTGCTGGTGCGGAGGGTGCTGCCGTATGTCGATGTGCCGTATGTGGACTGTCGGCTCTGAGATGCAGAGAGTCCAAGGTTGGGTACGCTGCGACTCCAGTCGTGTTGGACATTTGAAGAAGTGGCGGCCGGAGAAGCAAGACCTCTAGCTCGTGCAATAAGTTGGCTGGCATTCGCGTCCAAGGATCCTGATCGATGCAACGACTTGCCTGGGGTGAAAGAAGGAGGCGGCATTTCAGCTCTTGAATCTGCCAGCGTCCGTCGCGCCCTTGCAATCAGATCGTTCGTGGAATCGTTGAATGAAGACCGTCCGCTGAACGACACTGCGCCGTTGAAGGAGTGAGACGGTGATGTCGTGGATGTTGACTGCCTAAAGGACTCCTTGATGGCATCAGCACGAGCGCGCTGTTCTTCGAGCATAGTTCTCGGTGCTGACTGCTCATGTTGCTCCGGTGCAGGCGACGCTGGTGACAACTTGGGTCGCTTGGGCTCGATGAGCTTGGGCTTCTCTTCGTCTGATGAACCAAAATCGAAGCTGCGCTTCCGGTGCTTGCTCGGATCGATGCCCATAGCGCGCAACCTGAACCAATCCGTCTCGGTCCGGTCTACTGGTGCATTCGCAACGGCTTGCTGATATGCCTGGGAGTATGCGGTGATTGATGTGCTGGCGTTGCTTATGCTCTTGTCAAAGGTAGACTCAGGAGATGGGTTGTTGACCGGCACTGATTTGGCTGAGTTCACACCATTCGTCTCCGAGCTCTGAGCCTGGTGTCGCTGTTGCGTTCGTTTGGCGCGCCGGGAATTCGAAGGTTGCTGAGACACCGATCGCCCCTCTGGTGGTACTGCTGCTGTCGTCTTACCGTTCGATGTTGCCGGCTGTACCGGTGCAGGCGCGTCTGCCGGTTCTTCGTCTGGTCCGGCCTCCGCCTTTGCCCGCTGTTCTTTCAGTCGCTTCCTCCTCTCTCGTGCCTTCTGTAATTTCCTCTTCTTTTGCACCGCCAACATCATCTTGGCCAAGCCTGCCCGCTTCAACTCATCTAGATATCTCTTATGCTTCTGATCTACCATCGCCACTCTCCTCTCCATCTCTACAGTGATTGCAGCTTCCTTCGCTAAATTCATAGCAGCGTTTTCGACGAACTGCATCAGCAATCCCTCCTGGGGGTGGAACATAACATCCGCCGTGAGCGCATGCAATGCCGAGTCCTTCTCTCGTATCCGTGTTTGCCGTGCTTCCTCCTCTTGTGCTTGACGGAATCTCGCCTGTCGAGCCAACTCTTCTTGCTGCTCGCGTGCCTTGCGCTCTCGATCAGCCTGTTCTTGCCGCTGTCGCGCAGCCGCAGCTTCCGCAGCCTCAGCCTCACGCTTCTGCTCTGCTTCCTTCGCTTGCTTTGCTCGTTGGGCTTCCTGTACACGTTGGCGTGCTTCGTCCAGTTTTCGTTGCTTCTCAGCTGCCTCCTTCTTCACCTGCTCTGCCTTCTGTGCTTCATCTTCTTGTGGAGAAGTATCCGTCGGAGGCGGTGTTCCTGATGGGGTGAAGGACTGTTGTGGGGTTCCTTGCGAAGGTGTAGCATTGAACGAAGATCCAGGAAAGTTCAAAGCGGAAGCAGGCTTTGGCGTAGTCCCAGCCGGAGGCTCTTCGCCCCAATGGAATCCTTTCTGGAATTCAGCTTCACGTTTCGCCTGAGCTTGAAGTTTCGCCGGATCAGGGAAAGGCGATACTGGGGTGAAGAGATTCGCTGGAGCTTGAGGTGTTGTAGACTGAGGCTGCGCGGTGTTGTTCTTCAGGAAAGGATTCGCGGGGGTCGGTGTGGTGGTTGGCTCAGACTTCGCAGCATTGTTGAACTTCAAGAAAGGATTTGCGGCAGTCTGTGGCGTCGTAGATTCCGGTTGCGCAGTGTTGTTCTTTAGGAAAGGGTTTGATGATGGCGCAGTCGGTGTCGACTGGAATGAGTTGGTGTCCTTGCGCAAAAATGGATTGGCAGTCGCGTCCGCCGGCTGTCCAAACTGAATGCTGTTCTTGGAAGGATCGAAAAGGCCAGGCTGAACGGCTTTCGCGAATGGATTTGGACTTGTCGTAGAATTGCCATTCTGCTGAAAGGGAGATGCGGTCGCGTTGAAGCCGAAGCCACCAGCAGATGGTGTTGCGTCGGAAGGTTGCTGTTTGAAGACACTGGTGGTCTCTGGAATGAACAATGACGTCTGGTCTTCCATCTGTTGAGCTTGCATAGCAGACAGCCCGCCTTTCTTGGCTTCCTGCACAGTCATGCCTGCGATGACAGTCGACAAGGGACGACCACATCGCTTGGCCTCGACGATAGTTGCGGAGAAAAATTGAGGCTTGATGTCAGCCTTGGCGAGGACATTCGCTTTCCTGTCGTAGTGCTTCTGTTTGATATCCATGAAGCGCTGTCCTTGCTCGTTGAATTCGAAGACAAAACCGTGCGCCTCGCAAAACTCGACGGCCTCGTCTTCAGTGTCCATGCCGAGTACTTCTCTCAGCCTGTCGGTTGTCCAGAATTCGACGGAAACCTGATGCCTGTAGAGACCGACTCGGTAGCAACGCCAGACTACATCCAGTGCAACGTGACGGACCCTGTTGAAGGATATAGCGGCCGCACATGCCATGAGATATGATACCCGGGGCGACTTGATCAACTCCCAAAACCGCTTCCAATTCGACTGGCATTGTACCCAGTTGTCGTAATTCCTGTGAATGAGGATGGACTTGAGGAGGCGGAAGATCTCGAGAGCGGTTTGGACCCGTGGGTTGTTCCGTAAATCGCTAGGTAGACGATGGAGTTCGTTCTCGAGCTGGGTGTTGGCGTAGATGGGAGCCAGGATGAGGCGATATGCCCAGAACTCGGCTTCGCACTCTGATATGATGTTGGCGCGTCGATTGTCGGCGTATCGCTCCTTCAGCGAGATGAGGGTCTGATTCAGCTGCTCGACGTCTTGTTGATGCGAGTAATCGTCCTTGGTACTCCGCGCCATGTGATGAGCCGACAACATGTAGAAGCGGGCGCTGTACTCGAGCGAGGTGAGTAGTACCGCGATGTCGGCCCTGTTCTCGATACGTTGTGTGCGGAGGTCCTTTCGAACGGCTCGTGTGCGGTCCCAAAGCCATGAGTGGAGGAACTGGAAATCGTCTTCGTCTAGGCGGCCGTACAGGTACTTGAGGGTTTTCTGCGGATATTAAATCACGATCATGTAGAGAGTTCTGCTAACTTACCAGACACGTGGCTGGCGACCGAATCTCTGAGACCAGCTCCACGTCCATGCCTGCCGCTGACCGCGCGTATGCCTTGACCATGCGCGACTCATCTGCGATGCGCTGGCTACGGGAGGGTAGGTGTTGGGTCTCGGGTGTGCATTCGGGGGCCTTGACGTCGAGTTCGACTATGCGACGCACGCGCTCGTATTCCGGGCACATTTCCTGGCAAAGACCGTACAGCTTGACGGAGTCGATCAGGCGCATCTGGCCTTCGGGGTTCATGAGACCATCGCGGACGAACTTCTCGCGGATCTTGGGGCGCTCCGCTTTGATCTGTGCCTGTCAGTACTGACTAACCACGGTGATATCTGTAGTCCTTACGTGTTGCAGTCGCTTCTGGTATTCGTGGGGCGCAAAGGAAGGCGCAGAGTTCCCGCCGAACGGATTCGAAGTGGAAGCGTTCCTATAGGCATCTAGTTAGAATAGGCCGCGAGCGGCCATGGAGGCCCTCGTCTAGTATAGATCGCAACGACGGCGGTGGTGTAGTATGCATTCTGGTGATGGCGCCCTCGGTCCGCCCGCGCCCTGTGCCAACGTCAGAGGGAGTATGTCGACTTACGAATTGCCGGAGTCGTTCTTCTGGCGTCCCTGCCCGCCTTTGTATAGACCTTGCGCCGGTCGCTCTTCGTTCTGCGCATTGTTCCTGCCGCGTGCGCGATTCGCGTTGGAGTTGTTGCCGCCTTTGGGACCGCGCCCACGATCGCCTCCGCTGGCGCCTCTCCCACCTCGCGGTGTCGCCATGGTCGCGACTCTATCACGAGCGTGTTAGTGCGCGGTCAGCCAGGGTCAATGGCGAATGCGACGGTGAGGTTCCGGGTGCGGCGAGATGTCGGTAGTCGGATCGGTTGCGCTGGTGGCCGAGTCGGGTTGAGTGCGACTGGCGGGCGCTGCGAGAAAGCATCAAAGGCCCATCCGTGTCGCGAACAAGAGAGCCACGGATGAGCTCAGAGCCCGGGCCTGTGACGCGGTCCTAGCGCCTTGGCACACGACGTGTGGCTGGTGCCCGAGTCGCCGCTTCCACTTTCACCCTTGCTTGCAACATCAACACCTCAATTCACTCATAACATCACGCTTAGCATTAAGAAGCTAGTAGATTCGATATCTCGATTGATATCTAACATATCCGAAATGCGTAACTATCGACATGCGATACTTACATGTCTTTTCTCCCCTTATTTACCTCTCCGTGGGTTCGACCGTCTCGCCTCCACAATACTGACGGCCACCCACCTTCATCCACTTCTTCTAAAGACCAGCTACCCCCCAGGTTTTATACAACGCCGTTCAGCAAGAACAATCCCAAACATAGGCAATCCGTTCCCTATCCAATTACGTCCTCCACTAAGCAGCCATGAACTTTTGTACCAGCGTCGTTGCAATGCAGTCGTGGGCGGCGTGACGTCGTATGGGGTATATTGCAAGACATGGACCATGTAGAATGCAAAATCAAGAAAGTGCACCAAAGCATATTCCAGCGAGTGTGCCGAGGCATCCAGCTTGGGAGGTGCCCAGTCGCTGTGCTGGAACGGAGCTTGACAAATGCGACATGATAGAAGATGAGTATTGAGTAATGAGATCGTCGCAATCGTGAGTCGTTCCGAAGAAAGAAAAACATAAAGATGAACCGAAACGGATTCGAGCATGTAAGCAACACGAAATAATGCACGCTAAGTCGCAGGCGGTTAATGATGAGAGCCTTCCGACTCACAGCTGATGCTGGACAAGTGCGGTAGGCCGTCGAAGAACGACGGGACAAACATGTCATACTCGTAAGGATATCCGGTATTGCTGCTGAAGGCGGTACTCTCGTCTTGGTGATGGTACGGTGTATCGAACATGGTGAATGGCTGGTGGTATCCTGATGCAGACACTGGCACTAGGTTGTTTGAGCCAGGAGCCTGTCGTGACTGCGGTACATGGTGGTAGCCTGAATGATTAGTACAGTACTGCATCGGCTGGCTGCATTGCAAGTCACTCTGACCGCGGGTCTGGTTATGGAACGGGGTGTGGTTGGCCACCTTGACGTCTAGGTCCATGTCCTCATCTAGATGAAGAGAGTGCATCGACTGTCCAAAAGAGGTGTTGGGCGTCGTAGTAGAGCTGCATGGATGCATGTGTTGTGGTTGAGATATTGCCGGTCCTTGAATGGGGGCTTGCGCTTGCTGTTGCGATGTCTGGGGTCGCCGAGCTTTCTCCTCCCGTGGCAGGTGCGACTCAGTCGCGGTGTTGTCAACCTCGGTCTCGTTGCCAGATACATCGGCGTCGGGCTCTATCCTCGGAGGCGGAGTAGCCCTGGCCCGTCGGAAGCGCTTCCTAGGTACGGGTTGCTGGCGTGGCGGTCTCGTCAATGGCTGCCAAGTCACATGCGTCCCTCTGCGGGGGTCTTGGTTGTTTGTGCCTTCGAAGAGGTTGTAGTTGAAGATGTGGTCTTCGTATAATTGCGCAATGTCGAAGAGGTTCGGTAGAATCTCGGATAGGGCTCGGCCTTGCATCCGCTCACTGAATCTGGATCCTTTCGACGAGGAGAACTGGTCTGGCGGCGTGGTCTCAACGGCATACTGCGCGGCGTGTTTGAGCTTGGCGACCCATGGACTTCTACGCTTGGCCTCGTCGATTTTGCGGTGCTGAAGCATGAGGTCGACTGCAAGTTTCAAAAGGCCTAGGAAAATTAGCTGTTGCTCAAGTTCAGAGACAGATGTGATGACTTGCCCGCCTTGTCCAGATGCGAAGGCTCTTCATAGGGTACATCGTGGGGCCACCAAGGTGGGGTGCATTCAGAGGGCTGCTCCTTGGGCAGCTTCTTGTGGTAGGGCCCGTACAGGCTGAGACGCTTAGGCTCTAGTTGCTTGACCCAAGCCGTGACGATGGGCCGCACTGGTTTCATAGTGAGCTCATCGAGTCTTCGGTGGAAGAAGCCCATCAACGGTTTGACATCGCCAATGTAGAAGGTGTAAGACTTCTGTGTTGCCACAGGGACATCTCTATCGTCGTACTGCTCGTCGTCTCCATCTTCGCTGAAGTGCTGAGCTGCGCCTTGACGCGGTTCCCCTGGGCGCGACCGAGCTCTCTTCCGGCTCTTGGGTTGAACATCTCCCGACGTAGCTGGGCCTGTTAGCGGGGGCGCATACAGAGCAGGCATTCGATCTTACCCGGTACCTGGACCACAGCAGGCTGGTAGACTGGCGTGGGGATGGCTTTAGGCGGATCTGCCAGACGGGCTACTCCCTGCGACTTTGCTGGGCCGTTGCACAGGTGTTCGAAGCCAGGGATAGGCCTAAAGACGTGTTCCTCTCGGCCCTCAGGCGAGATGACCTTCCAGCAGCCGATAGGTGTAGGGACGGCAACAGGCTCCTCTGGTTCGTCCTTCTTGATGGTGGCTTCGACGGCGTGCGAGGATGTTGCCTGGAGAAGTCAGCATATGTGCTCGTCGCTATTGCCGTCTATGATGCCACGCGCCTGCCGGGTCCGGTTATTTGGGCCAAGGCGGCCGCTAATCGTCACGCCAGCGGCTCATGTGGAGGGAGGACCCGAAACCTTATCTACAGTGCCCCCGAACGCAAAAAGAAACCGTACTCACCGACGACTGCTCCTTCACATCACCAGCGTAAACCGTTGCCCACGCGTTTTCCCCAAATCGGTCTACCGCCATGGCGCCGCCATCGTCCTTCCGTATTGGTCGCCGGTCCTTCGCGTGAGGAGCCAATGGGTCCACAGCCCGGAACATCGCCATCGGTAGCTATGGAGCTGCAGCTGGCGAATCCCGCGAACTGATCGATGGATCGCCTTTGTGTCGTATGGGCGTATTTTTCCGTCTTATGGCGCCCGAGGAAAGCTCGAAAGTACGAACAGGCTACGCATCGGTCAGTTAGCATCTTATACTCTACAGGAGCCATGCCCCTGGAGCGACCGAATGAGGCAGTATTGCTTGACGAAATGACCAAGATCATCTACATAGACTAGTCGAGTACAGTTTTGGAGTGCGCACACTTCGCTTAACCTATTGCGCTGGCAGTGCTTACCTGAAAAGAGCAAGTTCTAGAGGAACCCCAGTCTTTGGATGAACGCAAGATGCCCCTCTTCCGCTGCAGATCCGAGATAAGCCAGAGCTCAATGCCGAGTTGGATGCCAACGAAAAGCCTCTGCTTTATCCAACAACGATGAGAGGCACGACTCGTCACGAGCTTCGAGCCACAGCAACGATGCTTGGATAAGGTGGCTAGCCGAAAAAGGCTGGGTGCGGAATCGGAGGAGGGTGGCACACAAGCCTGACCGGTCTTCCGAAGATTTTGTGCCAATGATGCAAACCTAAAAAGAGCCACGGTCTCAAGGATAAAATGCAAATACAAGAACGTGATACTGACAGCAACAATAGGACCGAATGTATTGACCGGGCTCTCAGGTTATAAAGCAGGCCTTGTTCTGCTATGACAACTGAGCCCTGCACTTTTCGACTCCTATCTACTGCACGTAACCTCACAGAATCCACTTGGCGACGACAACACCCCGGCATTTCAGCAAACGAGAGAAGACATCGCATGATCTGGCCACCCCGCGGATGTCGACTCGAGGGCTACCGCAGGTGTTAAGGGATTGAGGCCTCATCAGGCCTACGCATCTGAATTGGGCTTGCGGAGACGTCTTGTGCATGACTCCCGCTTCCCCGTCCGCACCTGCCTTCACTCTCAGTCGACACGATGCCGAAAAGATGACGAGTGTTAGGCGCGAACAGGGGTCAATGTCTCCACAAGGATGTATACACACTAGCGCTAAAGCATGCTGCATAACGGACACGGGGTCGTGCCGTGGGATTCCATCATGCAAATCAGCAAATCGTATCTGGAGGCCTCGAATCTCCGATGAGTGGTTCCATGGGAGATCTGTTGGGCATCGAACACCTGCACACTGCCATCGTCACTGTGGCAGATACCGAAATCAACATCCGATCATATATTGGATGTGGACGTGTCAGGACTTAACCCCACCTTCCACCTTTACACATCCCACGTGAGGAAGTACGCTAGCACACACTTCGACGATGGCGCTTTTCGGAAGACCAAGGATGGCTAGACCTCGCCGTTCTGTGGGTTTCGTTGATCCTCGGGATCGTCCTCGCTCGCCAACCTCGCTTACCGCATTTCCGCCAGCCATCGCATGAGGCGGAGGGGCAGTGGAGGTCAGAGACGACCTTCCCGCATCCCCGAACCAAAGATACATAGCCGCTCAAGCAGCCAAAGGGTCTTCGACTACCGATTTCTATGTCTACTTTAACGCCACGGCCAGACTCGTCTAGACGAGATACAAAGGAATCCTTCACAGATCCCGTTTCGATGTCGCTCAGGCCCGCACCGCTCATCCGCTTACCAGGCTGTTGGCGTGAGATTGAGTTCAGTCTGACTCAGTATCTGATCGATCTGGCTGTAAGAACGCCCAGAACAAGTTAGACAAAAAACGTCCATCTCGCTACTGCGTGCGCACTGGAACAATGCTGAAAAAGATTCCTGCACATCGCCGCGACATGCAACTCCCCTTCCTGCTGTTCTACCCCCAATTTTCCACCACTGACCTACCTCACCGCCAGCAACCTGCCAGATCTAAACAAGCCAACCTCTAGCAGATCAAATCGTATCGACGTCCCCAAACCAGACCCAGACCCAGGCTTCCCTTTCCCGAGCGCCACACCGCCCTCGCACTAGCAAAGCGGAGATAACGTGTCACCCCGTTGCACAACCTTCTTCTAATACGGCAACGGGCCGCTGGGCTAAACTAAACGCACACTATCTGCATGCAAGTCTACACCCGTTGCATGCACCACCCACGTCCAGCTTCCGTTTCCGCACCTCATCAACCAGTAACATGCACCAATCTCGCCTTCTCATTACCCTCCGGCATATATGCGCCACCCGCAAGAAGCGGAAGGTGGTGAACCGCGTTTAGTCGTCCACGGCTGTCGTGTCACGCATGCTTACCTTGCAACTTGGCTTTTCCTCTTTTTCCTCCTGTCCCTCGTGTAAGCAGGGGGTAAACAGTGGGCGGGTGGACATCGCTTCGAGCCCGTTCTTCGCGTCGAGTTACGAAGTTAGATGGGAGGACGTGCAGAGGCTGTCAATGCGTGCGTGACGCCGGAAAGTAGTTTCTGGTTTCGTATCGAAGGCGCAGGGGTAGCGGGACTGGAGCCGGGTTGGATGCGTGGGCTTCTGGATCGTGAAGTCGTGGTGCTGCAGCGCTTTCACCGCCAGGTCAAGGTACACAGCGATGATGAGGGTGTAAGGTTGGGGTTGGGTGGTGAAACGTTTACTTCCGAAGGTCGAGAGCAGACTGCTGACACTGGACTGTGATTGATGCAGAGACGTAGATATGATGCAAGGTAGAAACCGGGTGTATGGGTTGAGTAGTTGATGATTGCATGGTTCTGGTCGCCGAGGTTAAAGAGCGGTTACTGTAGCCGCGTCCAACGGGTTTTGCTTCCATCTACGCCTGGAGAATAGACTTGGTGGAATAGCGCTGCAATATATAGATCGCGATATATGCTGGAATCCTCACGTCACATGTTCTTCACTTCGCTATTCTTGGCTGTAGTGATGCATTGCCATACCTATCGTTAAATGTCCAAAGAGAAGTCATGTCCACTGAAAATCACCGAATGGATAACTATGTCATGTCACTGCCAATCTATCATGTTTGCACGGAGGTAAGAAAGAGAAATAGATGCACGTTAGACCCAGTATTAAAATTTTGTACACGTTCCCAACTCAAACTACGTCGCCCACCTGCGAGTTGATCACTCATCTGCTTTTCCCCTCTACCTCCATCACTGCTGAAAGTTTTCCGCTCACCACAACGCCTCGCCATGCTATGAAAACGGTGCAACCCCAACGTATCTATTCTGCGAACGTCTCTAGAAAAACTGATGTGTCAACGTTCTCCACACCCCTCTTCTATCTTCGTCAGTCACCTTCCCCCTTACGACTGAGTCATATCCAACGCATTCAACAGCCCCGCCTCCTTAACCAACTCATAAAACAGTCCCTTCCGTCTAACCAACTCTGCCGGGCTATCAAACTCTTTGACCTCGCCCTTGTCCAAAACGATAATCCTGTCTGAGTCCAAGATAGTGTTGATGCGATGCGCAATAGTGATGATTGTGCGGTTGTTGAACATGCTGGTACGGAGCGTGGTTTGCAGCATGGCGTCGGTTTCGACGTCGACGGCGGCTGTGGCTTCGTCCAGGACGAGGATGTTGGAGGGAGTGAGGAGGGCGCGGGCGAGGGAGACGAGCTGGCGTTGACCGGAGGAGAGGTTGGAGCCGCCTTCGTTGATGGTGGCGTCGAGCTTGCCCGGCATGGAGGAGATGTGGTCTTTGAGGCGGGCGTGGTCTATGGCAATGGTTAGTTGCATGTTGAGTGGGGTGGTTTGGAGCGGACTTACCTAGTACACTCCAGAGCTCGGTGTCGTCGTGAACATGGCCTGGATCGAGGTTGTCGCGCACGGTACCTTCAAAGAGCGCTGCATCTTGTGGGATGATGGCCAAGCGCCTGCGGAGATCGAGAAGACCGATAGTGCTGGTGTTGAGATTGTCGATGCTTACATTACCCTCCGCAGGCTCGATGATGCGGAAGAGCGCGAGGGTAAGTGAACTCTTGCCAGCGCCTGTTCGTCCAACGACACCAATCTTCTCCTTTGGCTTGATGGAGAGGTTGACGTTCTTCAGCACCAAGTCAAGACCAGGCCGATATCGGGTGCTGTAGTTGTCGAAAGTGACCGCGCCCTGGGACGGCCAGCTGATTGGTGGCCTGTTCTTGGAGATGATCTCAGGCGCCTCGCTGGGTAGCGCGGCATACTCAAGCACACGTTCCACAGAAACGATGTTGGTCTCCACTTCAACAGTCTGGCGAACGATCCAGTTGAGACTTTGAGTGATTTGAAGCGCATACGACATGGCCAGACCCACAGTACCAGCCGATAGGCCACTGTGACTAGCGACGGACACGATGGCGAGGCCCGCAGCTGCCAAGATGATGACTGAGCCAAGGAACTCTAGGCGAACAGCTAGCCATCGGTTGGCGCTGATGGACGGGTAGTATGCACGCAGATTGGCATCGACACGCCACTCATTCTCCATTTCGAAACGCTTCTGCTGGTTGTACGCGCGGATTGTGCTCATGCCGCTGAGACTCTCCTGGAAATGGGCATAGATTGGGCTGCGGCTAACGCTGTCGAGGCGCTTGAGCTCCCGTGATGTGCGCAGGTAATATCGCTGGATGTAAAGGTAGAGTGCGCCGAGCGGCAGGATAAGCGCAACGAAGGCCGGGGTCGACCACGAAATGACGACAAGGGTGAAGCCGGCTGCATCAGTCAGTCAGTCAAGTGTTACACAGAACGGGTTGAGTGTGGGGTGGCTGCATACCTCGGGCGGAATTGACGAAGAGCATGTTGAAAGTTCGGCTAGAGGCACATGTTAGAAAGCCACCGGCAGACGATTCAGAGAGATGAACTCACGCTAGCACTTCGTCGACTCGGTAGATGTCACTGTCAAACAAGTTAGCCAGTGTCGGTGAAGCAAACATAAGGGTCCAGGGTCATGCTCGGCGAGGCAGTGGGCGACGGTTAGACTGGTCAAGAAGACCTCCACCACCGCCCCTCCGCCTCCCC